TCAGCTCATTAAAGCTTAGGATATTGATCTTCAAACATTCTATTTCATTTTTCACAACTTCCAATTTTCCTAGATTCATACTTCATACATTCCCTGTTCCAATTACTAATGGATTTTTGCAGCTCTTTGTTCTTGTTTTGAGTTGTGCCATATCAGCAAATGAAGGTCAAAGTTTTACTCCATCATATCATTAAGATTGATTCTACTTTGATTTGCACTGAAGGCACTGGCAGAAAAAAAAAAAAAAAAAACTCTTAAGAATTGACAGAGTCCCTGTTAGATGTTTCAACAGACAGATACAACACTGGAAGGGCTCACTCACCTATGCAAAAAATTTGGCAGATAGCTTCTTGGCCAGCTGACAGGAAGGGATCTATATGTGTGCCCATTCAAAAGAAAGGTGATTCAGCAGAATTCAGAAATTATTAAACAATATCATTAATATCACATACAACTAAAATCATGCAGAAGATAATTCAAAAGTGGTTGCAGTAGTACATCAATGAGGAACTGCCAGAAATTCAAGCCAGACTCAGAAGAGGACATGGAATGAGGAATATCATTGCTCATGTCAGATGGATCTTAGCTGAAAGCAGAGAATACCAGGAAGATGTTTACTTGTGTTTTATTGACTGTGCAAAGGCATTCAACTGTGAATCATAACAAATTATGAATAACATTGCAAAGAATGGGAATCCCAGAACACTTAACTAGACTCATGTAGAACCTGCACATGGACCAAAAGGCAGTTGTTTGAACAGAACAAGGGGATACTGCATGGTTTAATATCAGGAAAGGTGTATGTCAGGGTTGTATTCTTTCACCATACTTATTCAATCTGTACACTTAGCAAATAATCCAAGAAGCTGGACTGTATGGAGAACGAGGCAGGATTGGAGGAAGACTTATTAACAACCTGCTCTATGAGTCGGGGCCAACTTGACGGCACATAACAACAACAACAACATGCAGGTGACACAGCCTTGCTCGCTGAAAGGACTTGAAACACTTACTGATGAAGATCAAAGACTGTAACCTTTAATACATATTACACCTCAATATAAAGAAAACTAAAATCCTCACCGTGGACCTATAAGTAATATCATGATAAATGGAGAAAAGATTGAAGTTGTCAAGGATTTAATTTTACTTGGATCCACAATCAGTGCCCATGGAAGCAGCAGTCAAGGAGTCAAAAGATGTACTGCATTGGGCAAATGTGCTGCAGAAGACCTTTTTAAAGTGTTAAAAAGCAAAGATGTCACTTTGACAACTAAGGTGCACCTGACCAAGCCATAGTATTTTCAGTCACTTTATACATGCAAAACTAGGCAATGAATAAGGAAAACTGAAGAAGAATTGATGCCTTTGAATTATGGTGTTGGCAAAGAATACTGAAGATATACCAGGGACTGCCAGAAGAATGAACAGAAGTCTGTCTTGGAAGTGTACAGCCAGAATGCTCCTGAGAAGCAAGGATGGTGAGACTTTGTCTCGCACACTTTGGACATGTTATCAGGAGGGACCCTAGAAAAGGACATCATGCTTGGTAGCGTACAGAATCAGCAAAAAGGAAGAAGATCCTAATCCAGATAGATTGACAAGTGGTGGAAACAACCTAAGTGCCTGTCAACAGAGGAATGGATGACAAAGTGGCTGCAACAATGGGCTCTAACAGCAACAATTGTGAGGATGGTGCAGGACCAAGTTTCATTCTGTTGTACACAGGGTCTCTGAGTCAGAACCAACTCGGTGGCATCTAACAATATGAACGTATGCCACAGCATTCTTTCATAATGCTTTTATTTCTGAAACATCCGTGTTAGTGTCTCCTCTTTCATTTCTCATTTTAGTAACTTGAGTATACTTCCTTTTTTTCTTGATCATATTAGCTAAAGGTTTGCCACTTTTGTTGACTTCTCAAAGAACCAGCTTTTGGTTTCATTGCTTTTCTCTTTTTTCATTAATTACTGTTCTCATCTTTATCATTCCCTTCCTTCTCCTTGCTTTTGGTTTATTTTTCTCAGTTTTCCAGTGTTTTAAGATGGAAAGTTAAGTTATGGATTTGAAATTTTTCTTCTTTCTTATTGTAGACTTAAAGACCATTCCCACTGAGTTGATTCTGACTTATAGTCACTCCCATTTGGTTTCCATGGCTGTAAATCTTTAAGGAAGTAGAGTGCCTCCTCTTCCTGCCATGGAGCAGCTGGTGGGTTTGAACCTCTGACCTTCTGGTTAGCAGCCAGACTTCCAGCTATACATTTTCCTCTAAGTACTACTTTTGCTGTATCTTATAAGCTTTGGTATGTTGCATCTTGATCTTCATTCATCTCAAAGTATTTTCTGATTTCCCTTTTTATTTCTTCTTTGATCCACTGATAATTTAGGAGTATACTATTTCATTTCCACATATTTTTAAGTTTTTTTTTTTTCTTTACTGTTACTGGTTTTTTAATTTTATTGCATTGTGGTCAGAGAGCATACTTGTAGTATTCCTATCCTTTTCAGTTTTTGGCTTTGTTTCATGGTCTAATATATGGCTTATCCTAGAGAATGTTCCAAGTATGCTTGAGAAAATATGTGTTCTGTTGGTGGTGGTGGTGTTGGTGTTGGGTGACTTATTCTATGAGTATCTGTGAGAGCTAGTTGATCTACAGTGTTGTTCAAGTATTCTGTCTCCCTGTTCAACCCATTATTGAAACTTGTATGTTGAAGTCCAGCTGTTCCTGTTGAATTGTCTGTTTCTTCATTTCTATCAATTTTTGCTTCATGTGTTTTGGTGCTTTGTAATTAGATGCATACATGTTCTAATGTAGTATCTTCCTGATGGATTGACTCTTTAATTGCCATAAAATGTCCCTTTGTATCTCTAACATTTGTTTCAAAGCTTATTTTGTCAGGTGTTAGTGTGACCACTCCAGCTTTCTCGTGGTTGCTGTTTGCGTGATGTCATTCCTCCCACCCTTTTATTTTCTGTCTATCACTGAATCTAAGCTGTGTCTCCTGTAGACAGCAATACAATTGGATCATATTTTTAATCCAGTCTGACACAGCTCTGCCTTTTGATTGTTTAACTCACTCACATTTAATGTTATTGTTGACACATTGGATTTACATCTGCTGCCTTACTTTCTGTAAATAAGTTGTGATCTGGCTACTTGGAGATCTTTTCCTGTTAAATCTGATGACTGGTTGCTCTCATAGGCAGCTTCTGTTGCCTGATATTTTTCTGCTGCATGGGTGGTACTTTCTGGTTTCTTTTCATATCTCACATTTTTGTTGTAGACATCCTAGATGAAACATTGTCACGACTAGCCCACCCCCTCTGAGGTTGTTAATGACTGACTGCATTACTTTTGTGGAGTCTATATCTCTCGCCTGCACTCGTAAGCCTCTCATGTTGCTCCTTGGGCAGGGCCAGTGTCGGGGATGCCCACAGTCACCCCAGGATAACTGTGGCAGTGTTTTCTTCCACTCTCCTTGACCACACCAGATGTGAAGCATTACTGACTACAGGCCGGTCACTCTATAGCTCAGTGTCCTGGAGCACAGACTCCTCTATGGACTAAGCTAATGGGGGCCGGTTGCTCTGCAGGCTCCTCTGTGGACTAACCTAATTGTGGCTCCTCCTCAGTGGTTTCTGAGGTCAGTATTTGATACCCATTTCCATCCCTGGAGGGCTCCTCCCAGATATCTTATTTTCAGGTTCTCACCTAGGAACAGAAGTTCTGGTGGCGCTGTGGTCAAGGCACTGGGCTATTAACCAAAAGGTTGGTGGTTCATACCCACCAGCCACTGTGTGGGAGACAGAAAAAGATTTAGAGCCTTGGGAAACCTATGGGGCAGGTCTCCTCTGTCCTCTAAGGTCGCTCTGGGTTGGCATCAGCTCCATGGAAGTGGGTTTTTTAGGTTTTTTTCCCCTCCTACCAACTTGCCAGCCTAGTCTAGACTGTGTCTTCATTAGACCCACGAGCCTCACTGACTGCCCATCATCACAGCCTCCACTAGTTCTAGGGAGCACCCTCATGTCTCAACTTCCCCATGCTCCCTTGTCATTCCTTTTGGGAAGAGACTCACGCACTGCCATGGAGCCAGAGCCGACTCCTAGTGAGCCCTGTTGGGTTTCCAAGGCAGTGTTATCAGGGAAGTAGGCTGCCCAACTTTCCTTCCCAGGAGTGGCTGGGGGGTTTGAACCACCAGCCCTCTGGTTAGCAGTGAACTGCCTTAGGCACTGTGCCACAAGATGTTGTATAGCCAGCTTCTATCCCAGGCAGAATCTCTCTGGTCCCTGGCTCTTGAGCTGGGGTTGGGGACAATGGTGTGGGGCCTGGCTGACCAGGCCTGCTCTCTGAGTGGCACTGTGCTTTAGAGCTGAGCACTCAGTGGGGCTCCAGGGGCCGTAGGCTGAGGTCCTCTCTACTTGCCTCTCCTGGCCTGAAACTACTGCCTCCCAGGCTGGGGCAAGGACGAGGTGGCGCCAGGTTTCTCGGCACTTTGTGCCCAAGGTCGCCCCTCTGTTGAAACAGTGGAGGCTGGGCAGAAGAAGGGAGTCCCACCTTCCCACGCACCTGGGACTCAGCAACAGGTAGTGGCTGCAGGGTGAGAACCGTTCTTTCTTCCAGTGGACGCTCCGCCGAGCTGCACTGAGAGGCGGCAGGGCGGCGCGCTCTTGGCTGGAAGGGCACAGACCCACCTTCTTACTGATGAGTGGACAGTCCTTCCCTTGTTTGACCTCAGATGCAGTTCCAGCTGCTTGCTTTCGCGTTTGCAAATGACTCTCGGCAGTTTCTCTGGGGACTGGCTTAGCTGAGTCCCTCTCGCTGTCCTCCCGCGGGGAGTCCATCCCCACTTGCATCTCGTTTATGGGAACTGGAAGCTTCTGTCCCTACGCCTTGCTACCTGCCAAGACACTCCCGTTGCCGGGCGGGAGGACGAAGGGCAGCTTCGCTGGGTCTCCCAGGCCCCGGACTCGCCGACACCGTGCCTCCCTCTCCCCTCAGGGCGAGTGCTCCCGCAAGTGCCGCAACCTCTTCGTGCTGGAGACGGTGTGCGTGGCCTGGTTCTCCTTGGAGTTCCTGCTGCGCTCGGCGCAGGCCGAGAGCAAGTGCGCCTTCCTGCGGACGCCGCTCAACATCGTCGACATCCTGGCCATCCTGCCCTTCTACGTGTCGCTGCTGGTGGACCTGGCGGCGGGCGGCGCGCCGGGGCCGGGTCCCGCGGGCGCCGCCGGCGGCAGCAAGCTGCTGGAGCGCGCGGGGCTGGCGCTGCGGCTGCTGCGCGCGCTGCGCGTGCTCTACGTGATGCGCCTGGCGCGCCACTCGCTGGGGCTGCGCACGCTCGGGCTGACGGCGCGGCGCTGCGCGCGCGAGCTGGGCCTGCTGCTGCTCTTCCTGTGCGTGGCCATGGCGCTCTTTGCGCCGCTCGTGCACCTGGCCGAGCGCGAGCTGGGCGCGCGCCGCGACTTCTCCAGCGTGCCGGCCAGCTACTGGTGGGCCGTCATCTCCATGACTACCGTGGGCTACGGCGACATGGTACCGCGCAGCCTGCCCGGGCAGGTGGTGGCGCTGAGCAGCATCCTCAGCGGCATCCTGCTCATGGCCTTCCCGGTCACCTCCATCTTCCACACCTTCTCGCGCTCCTACTCGGAGCTCAAGGCGCAGCAGCAGCGCGCCGCCAGCCTCGAGCCAGCGCTGCGCGAGGACAGCACGCGCTCGCCCCCGGAGGACGGCTCGCAGAGCCCGGACGGCGTCCTGGAGCCTGGGGGCACACACGGCGAGGACGCCGGGGCCGGCCAGTGGGTGTGAGTGGGGCCGGGCGCCCGGCGGGAATCGGGGCGAGAGGGCCCCCGACCCGCCCAGGTGTCGGCTTCAGAGACAACCACCGCTGCTGTGAGGGGGCCCCACTCAGTGGCGTCGGGCGCGCTGACCCGGAGGGGCCTCGTTTGCCAGGTGCCACAGCCTTTCTCAGCCCGAGGTGGGGCCGCAGGGCTGTGCGCTGTCATGCCAGGAGCCACGCGGGCCTAGTCTGTTCGTGTGGTTTTTAACTTTTTATGACTAAAGTGATGTCAGCACGCTTCGGCCTGTACCAGAGGCAAGAGGGCCACCGCCGCCCCTAAGCCTAACTCCTGCCCCTGCCACGTCTGCCCTTCAGCAGTGGGGACTGCCCCCTTGAGAAGGGGCCTTTGCTTTGCCTCGGCTCTGCCAAAGCCCACTTCTGCCAGGCCACTGCTCCCCATCCTACCCACTTCGCAGGCTCTAGAGGTCCCTCTGCCCCAACACTAGCTCCTCATGACAACCCCGCCCCCAGGTCCATCCCTCAGGAAGGGCACTCGGGTCCCCCACTCAAGCCTGTGCACCTGATAGTGCTCGACATGTCAGACCTCCCCCTGCCCTTCAGGAGGCCCAGGGCCACATGCTACCCTCCTGTGATGCCTGATCTTCCCCATTTCTCTCCCAAGACTCGGTGCAAAGGTGGGAAGCACGCTGCCCTCCCAGGGGTGCCACAGGAGAGGGAGGAGGCTCCACCAGGCAGCCCCTCTAGGGCCAGCTGTCCCTGTGGCTGCTGTCTGCCATCCAGGGCTCGGTGGGGAACAGAACTTCCAGCTCACACGGCTTGTCCATTTTCCACCCTAGGGAGCTCGCCCATGTCCCGTGATACCACAGACCCCAACCGAGGGTCCCCGTCGCAAGGGTACTGCAGATCCCGCCGTGCACTGGGCCTGTGCAGAGACCTACCACAGGCGTTGCCTGAAAACGCCACTCAACTCAATAAAGCCGCTCACCCTCTAGCACAGCTGTCTGCTTGCTGTTGTGGCCTTGCTGGCCTGTCAGCCCAGAGCATGTGCTCCGGGCCAGAGGGGGTCCTGGGACTGCAGGGGTGACAGGCCCAGACGGTAGGCAACAGTGAAAGCCTGGCCTGACTGCCAACTATACCCTATGAACACAAGGTCCATCTCACCACCTCATTCTGCCTCCTCCAACCCAAGGGAGGACCAACACTGACCACCTTTCTCCACAAGGCTGTGTCCAGGGCAGGCTGGGCATCAGGTAAGGCCCATTCTTCATACCTCCCCCCAGGTATGGGGCACTCCACATGTGACCCCCAAGGCTCCCCCAGCCCCTTCACTGATGCTGTAAGAGACTTGGCTGAAAAACACCTGCTGTGGGTAAAATTAAGGTAACTCTTGTGAGGCACAGCAGCAAGCTGCTGCTTGTCGTTTGGTGATCGGAGACCAGGCACACAGGGCCTGGTGTGGGAATGGGAGCTCTGGTGGCGTAGGGCCTAAGGCATCTGACTGCTAACCTGAAGGCTGGCAGTTCAAACCCACCAGCTGCTCCTCAGAAGGAAGGTTGGGCTACTTCCGTAGTGATACCGCCTTGGAAACCCAAGGAGGGGTCGCTATGAGTCAGATTCTACTCATCAGCAGTGAGTTTGGTTTGGTTTTGGTTTAGCACAAGGGGCTGTCTGGTGTCCCAGGGCTCCACTCACCTGCAGAAACAGCCGGCCCCACAGAGCTTATCAGACAGTGCCACTCTGTAAACTTGGGACACTGGGCCAGGCACAACTTCCTCAGGCCTCGCTTCCTCACTGATGATAAAATCCAGAGTTGGCCAGAACAGTCCCTGAGTCTTCTTGGCATCTGAGGTGATTTGTACCTGTGACCTTCCAGGGGTCTGCCAGCCTTGCCCACAGGAGCCTTCTGCACAGGACAGTGCACTCTCCTGCCCTCAGCACTCAAACGAGCCCTTCACCCAGAACCCCGCCCTGCCCCCCTGCTCCCACCACCCACCCCAACTGCCCTGTGAGTGACCCTGAAGGACTGGCAGCAGGGGAACTCAGGACCAAACATGTTGCACTGTGGATGCTGGGGGTCTGAAACCCCCCACAGCTGCTGCCAAACAGAGCCAACTCCTAGCCTTTATTTTAGGAAAAACAATTCACCCACCACTCAGAGCTTCTCTCTGGAGAGGCGGATGTGAGAAGCACAGTCAGGGGCTAACCTTCACGTTTACAGTTCCCATCACTCTCGGGTCTTCATCTGCTAAGTTCTTAGAGGCTCGGCTCTGGGAGGAACCGTGCTGCTCACACCAGGCCTGAGCATAGGCGTCCTCACTTCGTTCCTGTTTCCAAAATACTCTCCTTGTTGAAAGAGCGACCCGTAAAAGTGAAATGAGACCGGATTTGGGAAAATGTGCTCTTCAAATGTTTTCTTGGCAACAAACTCATAGCGTGCCCCCAAACTTAAACATTCTATACTCTCCCTTTAGGAACAACAACAAAAACCCTTCCACACCAACAGCTGCTGCCCCCCCATCCCCTCCTTGTCGTCAGGCCATCAAGCCCCCCATGGGACAGAGTGGGACTGCCCGTAGTCTACCAGGTTGTACTGTCCACGGGAACACATCACCAGGTCCTCCCATGGAGCTCCTGTTGTTAGGGGCCGTCAAGTCGCCTCCAACTCACAGCGACCTATGCACAACAGAATGAAACACGGTCTGCCCTGCACCAGCCCCACATCATTTGCTATACCTGAACCCATCGCCGCAGCCACTGGGTCAAGCCATCTCGTTGAGGGCCTTCTCCTTCTTCACTGACCCTCCACTTTACCAAGCATGACATCCTTCTCCAGGGAATGGTCCCTTCTGACACCATGACCAAAGTAGGCGAGACGAAGTCAGGCCATTCTCATTTCCAAGGAGCATTCCAGCTGCACTTCCTCCAGGACAGACCTGTTAGTTATTCCAGCAGTCGATGGTACTTTCAGTATTCTTTGCCAGCAACACACTGGGTGGGTTCAAACTGCCAATTTTTTGGTCAGTATTGAGTTACTTACCCTTGAAAGCTGTCTCTAGGACTTGAAGTGGGACCCCACACACACACACACAAGCTAGCAGTGAGTTGGTGGGAAGGTCCTGAACATGTGAAGTGGCAGAGGCTGGGCTCCTTCAGGTGGGCCAAGAGGAGGGGTCAACCCCCCGCAAGGGGCAGAAGCAGGCGCCTAGTTCTGCCAGGAGTGAGCAGGTTCCCCAGGGGCAGGTCCAGTCCCATGAGGTGGGTGGCCCCAGGTCAAAACAAGGCTCGAGGCGGCATCTGGAAAGGGTCTGGTTTCACCCACCTGACCTGCAGATGGGAGCCCTGACCCTCACTGTCCCCTTGTAGCAGGAATGAGGACACAGGACTGGCCTGGTCCTTCCAGCCCAGCAGATGAATTCCACGCCAGAGCAAGTGAGTCCTTGAGTCATTTATTGGTTTGAAGTTGCCACACAGCCGGGCTAGGATACATTCATCCAGTTCCTGCACGCAGGTCGGGCTTTCAGGAGGCAGCGGCTGCTGCAGACTACCCCCGGTGCCTAAAAACAAACGCCCCAAAGCAGCTTACAGGCTGAGAGCTCAGTGAGGCCCTCACGAAACACTCAGGCTCTCCAGGGAAACGTGGGTGAGGCCAGCACTGGCCTCCCCACCAGCCTGCTACGGCCCCCACCCCAGCAACACCACCTGCTGCCCCCGTGGTGCTGGCCATGGACACCCATCTGCAGACAGCCCCTCCACCCAGTGGAAGGGCACAGGCCATGGGCAGGGCGTGTAGAGCAGAGGCCATGACAGGCTAGGGTTCACTTGGAACTGGACATGGGGAGCTCATCTCACACAATGGGGAAGGAGCTGTCTGCGGACACGTGGCTCCAGCACAGCTAGATGCAGCAGAATGCATGGACAGCAGGCGGCAGGTGGCAGGCGGGGATCTGTAAGGTCACTTTAGGCCCAAGAGCCATCTGAGGTACGAGGAACTCCTCGGGGGAAAGGGACCTGCCCTGACACACTCCTCTCCTAATACTGGGCTGGGGATGCCCTGAGTGTGCACGTGACATCAGGACAGAGGACAAGCCCCCAAGTGGAGGCCCCTCCAGGTGGGCAGCTGAGGCCACGTCTCCACGCCCAAGTTTGCCCCTCGGCCTTCCCAGAGCCCACACTGTGGTCTCAGGTCCTGTCTGGGGCCTTCTCCGAGGCCACCCACCCCTACCCCCACCCATGGAGCCACGAGGGCGTGCGGACACACGTGGCTGCCTCAGACGCTGCTGACCAAGCTTGGACCACACTCTCCCATGAGGCAGCTGGCTCCGATGCCGTCTCAGGCAACTCTGCCGTGTAAACAAACGGCACCGATGAACACACACGCAGGTGGCTTCCTTCCCTCTGCACAGGCCCGTTGGCCTGGCGGTCCGCCCTGAGGCTGTCCCATCACGTGCTGGCACATGAGGGACATCGGGCACTGAGAGGGGGTTTGTCTGCAGATTCTGTGGTCCAGGGGCCGCTGTCAGCTAATGCTACCTCTGCCCCTGCTCTCCTAGCCACCTCACCTCACCCCACCCCACCGCTTTGAGGCTCTCCGGTCCATGGTGTGGTGCCCTGCCCCAGCCAGAGCACTGGCTGCCTGGCCAGCAGGGCCAGCGTGTGGTACACACACTGCATCCTCACATGGCATGAACACACTCAAGGCTCAGCCAGGTGTTGGGGCAAGCGAGGAAGGGGACTCACCTTGCAGTCCCCTAAAGATAACAGAAACCCACCGTGGGGTGTGAAACCCACCAGTGAAGAGCACCCCCCTGCAGCTGCAAGCCCTGCACCTGGGGACCCCGCACGCTCCCCAGCCTCCTCCAGCCCCTCCCACCCTCTGCACGAGCCCATGGCCCCGGGAGTCAGATCCGGTCCCATCGGCTCAGAGGGCCTTGGCGCTGGTGGGGTGAGCGGCATGGGGCGCTGGCTTTGGGGGGCGGCGGGCGTAGGTGTAGGCCTGCAGCAGGATGGCCAGGTCGACCAGCACCTGCAGCAGGCCGCAGACGGAGAACTGCAGTGGCGCACCGTTCAGCAGGAAGTAGGCTGTCTTGAAGGCATCACCGCTTGTCCACATCAGCACCATCTTGATGCTGTGGAGACACACACAGGCGTGAGGTGGTCCCTCCTGGGCTCTGCAGGATGGGGGCCGGAGAATGCAGCTCTTAAACCAGACACCCGGAGTGTGGTCCTCACTCAGCAGTGAGCTCGGCTTGCCCCAGGGGAGTGTGGTCCTGACAGCGAGGAGAACGAGATGGGAGGCAGGTCACACAAAGGAGGCAGGGCTGGACCAGGTGCAGCGGCCTTGCCCCCAACACACACCCAGGAACAATGGAGAACAGGGACAAATGGGGCCCAGGCATCAGGACACCACTCTGGGCTGGCTTCAGGAGCCATCTGTGTGACAGGCTTTGCATCTGGCCTGTGTTTGCCAGTGGACCTGGCACAGAGCAGGGGGGAAGGATGCCTGCATGGTTCACACCACTCCCCTGGGGCCCAAGTGCAACATCTGCCAGGCCTCCAGAGAGGACCCCCACCCCTGCATCTGAAGGTGCTGAGGACACAAACCACGGGCCAACAGTGGTTCTCTGGCCAGCACCTTCTTACACACAGCAGAGCCAAGCGGGGCTTTTGGGGATGCCAGGCCCAGACCATCACAGTCGTAAAATAACTTGGGGTGAGCCTATCACTGGGAGTCCTGCAAAGCTTCCCGGCAAACAGTTCCCATGTCTCCTCCATCAGCCTAGCCCTAATGGCACATGAAACCTCATGGAACAAATTAGGAACCACCGCCACTTACTGCCTATGTTGTACGCACATCTCGTGTTTGCACCCAGCATTTAAGAGCACAGACTGCCAAATAATGAAGATAAGGACTGTGTAGTTTGCTGCATGAAATGTGTTTAAATTAGACACATTTGCACTGGCTGAATCATTTCCAACTAATTAAACCAGATGACAGAGCTCGAGCTGGAGAGAGCTGCCTGCACGGAGGCGGCGTGCACCACGCCCCCAGGGTAAGCCTGCCTGGCTCAGAGCAGACAAGACACAGGTCAGAAATGCAGACCCACCAGCCCAGGCACAGGCAGGAGGGACCTGTCCCCATGTCTACAAAGGGGTGCCAACAGAAAAAAAGCACGGGTGGCCCCAGTCCAGATCCACCCCCGCTGCCCCAGCTCCAGAGCATGGACCTGAGTCTCCCTGAGCGTCAGCCCAGTTTTATTTGTGACGCCAGGATAAGGAGCCCCGTCTCTCAGAACCGCTGCGTGAGGGTTATGACCCGTGTGCATGCACATGGCAGGAGCCCTCTGATTTAAGGCCTGGGCAGCTGAAAAGGAGTGGAGATTGCTGTGTTTTCGATACATTTCGCTTGTGTTGTGTTGTCGTTGTGTTGTTGGGTGCTGTCAAGTCAGTTTCAATTCATAGCCACCCTGTGTACAACAGAGTAAAACACTGCCCGCTCTGGCACCATCCTCACAATCACAGCCATGCTTGTTCCTCTTAGCATCTGTGTCAACGCATCTCACTGAGGGTCTTCCCCTTTCTCGCGACCCTCTACTTTACCTAGCATGGTATCTTTCTCCAGGGACTGGTCCCTTCGACTATATGACCGACGGACGAGAGATGGCGTCTGGCCATATTCACTTCCAAGGGGCATTCCGCCTGACTTCCTCCAAGCCGCATCTGCTCCTTCTTGCGGCAGTCCTTGGTATTTTCAGTATTCTTCCCCAACACAATTCAAATGCATCAGTTCTTCTGTGGTCTTCCTTATTCATTGTCCAGCTTTCACATGCATATGAGGCTTTTCTCATGCGCACCTTAGTCTTCAAAGTGACATCTTTGCTTTTTACCACTTTAAAGAGGTCTTTTGCAGCAGATTTTCCATGCAATAGGTCTTTGATTTCTTGACTGCTGCTTCCATGGGCATTGACTGTGGATCCAAGTGAAATGAAATCCCTGACAACCTCAACCTTTTTTCTCTCCATTTGTCATGGTTGCTTATTGGTCCAATTGTGAGGATTTTTGTTTTCTTCATGTTTTGTTTTAGACATATCTTATTTGACGTGCAGTGTTGGCTCACATGGTGCTTCAAAACATTCTTGAGTTAGATGATAACTAACTCTGTGTGTAAAAAAAATTAAAAAATCAGATTTCTGGCTTCCCTAAGGTTGTCTCCAGAATATTTTAAACTATGAATTCAATTTCCTTATTAGATGATCTGTTTCTTCCTAAGTCAGTTCAGGTAGTTTATGGTAGTATTAAGGATTCTATAACAAAGTACTACAAACTGGGTGGCTTAAAACAACAGAAAGTTATTCTTTCACAGTTCTGGAAGCTAAAACTCCAAAATCAAGGCGTGGCAGGACCATGTGCTCCCTGAAGTCTCTAGGGGAGGATTCCTTTTTGCCTCACCCCAGCTTCTGGTGGTTGCTGGCAATCCTTGGTGTTCTTGGCAATCTTGGAATGTCACTCCAATCTCTGCTTCCATCTACACATGGCCTTCTCCCTGTGTGTCTCTTCTCTTCTTATGAGGATACTTTGATTACATCTGCAAAGCTGTTACTTCCAAATAAGATCATATCCACAGGTCCATGGGGTTAGGACTTCAACACATATTTTAGGGAGACACAGCCCAACCCACGACAGTGGTTTCCAAGGAACTGGTCTACTGTATCTTCATTGTTGAATGCAGCATGGACTTGTCTGAGGGCTCCCTTCTAACGTCTGTGGGGGCTATGGCGTATCTCCTCCTCCACTCCTGATACTGGTACTTGTGTTTTCTCTTATTTGTCAGTCTGGCTCCAGGTTTGTCAATTTAAAGATCTCTTCAAAGAACCAGCTCCTGGGTTAATTTATTTTTTCCCTTGTGTTTTCTGGTCAGTTTCACTGCTTTTTTATGTGTATGTGTGTGGTCTGAGTTAAAGTTTACAGAGCAAATTCATTTTCCATACAGCAGTTCACATACACTTTGTCTCATGGCATTGACTGCATTTTCCTACAATGCAACAGCTCTCTTTCCACTTCGTCCCCATAGTTACTTCTCCCATGTCCTTCCCTCCCATGCACTCCTGCCCCCTGAGCTGTCTCCCTGTGCATACACAGCCCTTCTATTCTCCCATGATTAATCTCTCCAAGGAGTGTATCTACCTAATGTAAATGTTAATCTCATGTGCCTGTCTTTTGTTTGGCTAGAAGCCACAGGAGTGGGTTCAATTCCAGACCTGAAGGGCAGCTAGAGGCCATAGTCTCAGGGGTTTCACCAGGCTCTATCAGACCAGCAAACCTGGTCCTTTCTTTTAATGATTTTGAGTTTTGTTCCACATTGTTCTTCCTCTCTATCCAGGATCTCCTACAGAGATCCCCCTCCGAGTGGCTGACAATGGTAGCCAGGCACCTTCTAGTTCTTCTGGTCCTATAGTCATACAGGCTGAGGATCACATGGTGTACCAACCAGTCCCTTGGACTAATTATTTCCATGCATCTTTGATTTTCTTCGTTCTTCTTTGCTCTGGATGAGGAGAGACCTGCTCATTGCATCTAGATGGCTGCTTGCAAGCTTTTAAGATCCCAGTCGCTACTTACCAAAGTGGGACGTGGAGCAATGTTTTTGTGTAGTGTGTGATGCCATTTGAGCTTGATGTCCCCTGCGACCATGGTCCCGAGCGCACAGGTTCAACCACTCGCTCCCTCCGGTAGCTGGCTGTGGTCAAGAAGCCAGTGCCACTGCTGTATGCTGTCTTTATTCCCTCCTTCTACTCACTCTGGGTTCATTTTGCATGTTTTAGTTTCAGGTGAAAGCTTAGATTAATATTTTGAACCTCTCTTCTTACTAAGTATATAATGCTACAAATGTCCCTCTAAACATCCCTTAACTGCACCTAACAGACTTTGATATGATTTTATTTTCATTCCGTTTAAAATATTGTCTAGTTTCCTTGGAGACCTCCTCTTTGATCCAGGAATTACTTAGAAGTGTGCCGTTTTCCAAGTATCTGAGGACTTTCGAGACTGGTCTTAATTTCTAGTTTAATTACATTATAGTCACAGAATATCTTCTGGATGCCTTCAACCCTTTGATATGTCTTAGGGTTTGTTTTATGACCCAGGATATGGTCTGTCTTGCTGAATGTTCGATGAGCATTTGAGAAGAAAGTGTTTTCTGGGTTGAGTGCTCCACAAATTCAGTAAGATCCAGTTGCCTGGTGGTGATGATTGGTTTTTCTTGCTTTTTGCTGTTTTCTGCCCACTTTTTCTATTAATTACTTTTTCTATCAAATACTGAATTCCCTAATTGTAGATTTCTCCATTTCTCTTTTAATTTCTATTAGTTTTGGCTTGATGTACTTTGAGGCTCTACTGTTAGGGGCACATGCATTTAGGGTTGCTGTGTCTTCTTGGTGAATTGGCCCACTTATCATTACATAATGTCCCTCTTTACCCCAGGAGTTTTCCTCACTTGGGAGTCAACTTTGATATTGATACAGCTGTTGCCAGTTTCTTGATCAGCTTCTGCATGGCAAGTCTCTCCCATCTTTTTATCTTTAATCTTTACCATTATATGTAAAGTGGGGTTCTTATTGACAGCAGATACTTGGGTCTCATTCCTCTAATCTATCTGGCAAGCTCTCGCCTTTCATTGGTCACACAGTTTCCACTTGATGTAACCATTGGTGGGTTTGAATTTAGCTCTGCTTTCCCTGTCCTGCACCAACTGAGAATCTCAGAGGCCAGCAGTGGCGAGACAAATGCCCCAGCCTGTGAATAACTCAACACCAGGCTCAAATACTAACTACTGGCAGGATGCAGGGTCACAGATAGGCCTACAGCAGCATGCAGAAAGCACAGCCAACCCGAGGAGCAGCCCAGGCTGAGCTGGGTGTGCTGCCACAGCCACAAACCCTAAACAAGAACTAAGCTACCCTGAAGATGGAGAACCCAGGGCCGGAGGACAAGATCATGGGAGCGACATGCCAAGGCACGGACAGAGGGACAGGCAGAGAGTTCACCAGGACCACAACTGTGGCCAAGAGCACACTGGCTTCAGAGGCGGCCTTGGACCAGGCAGCTGGGCACCTGGGAGGCTGTGGGCAGC